AATTAATTAGTACTCCACATCATAGGAAGTATATTAACGCTTCAACAAAAATTTTTTATTTTATTTTTTTATTGAGTATTATTATTTGAGCCATAAATTGTGCCATTGTGTATTGTGTTATAATCTTTTCTGTAACAATTTATTAAATGATTGGGTTAAGTGGAAGAGCATAATTGAACTTCGCCCATTAAGTGGGCATTCTTTTAATTTTGAAATATGTCATTTAGTTTTTTTTACTGTAATTGTGTGTATGTGACTTAATAAAATTCACAGATTTCGCAATCCTTGCAACCATCGGAGACATTGGAAATGATAACCGCATAACCTATAAAGCCATAAATAACGCTTATTCACACGGTATAATCTTGCTCCACTCGCTCGCTCGTGTCGCAAACGTAAACTTTCTGAATAAATAAGCGGCGTAACATGCTTGTAATACTATCACGGGCGATGTGCGAGAATTTTCAATTCGAATTAACAAAACCCTTGCGCACTGTTAAGTAAGTACCGTATAGACAGTATCCGCGACTTTTCCTGAATCTACCGATTGCAGTCGAGTACGGTACAATCAACACTAGACCCAACACCACTGTCTTTTTTTTTACTCGGCAAACCTAGTAAATTCATACCCACACAAAACATAAGCATTTCCAATGCTAAAAGACATTATTATTATTATTAAATCTGCGAACAGTGACCATTTCACAAATTTCGGGCAAACCTCTAGAAAGTTCCAAAAAAATTATCAAAGTCCTCGTGTGAAATCGAAGGGACTTCAGCGCATTTTTGTGTGGCAGATCAGTATTCTATTAGCCACTTTCGACTCAACCATCAATAACAGATCTTGTCGAAGGCTACTACATTCGCTAACCGTTTCCCACTTTCCGCGTGCACCCGCAATTCACTTTTAAAGTTAAAATCGGGTCGGGGGCTACCACATTCCCTTTGACGGTAGCCACTTCCGACGTCCCGTTCATCCGCAATTCGCTTCTATTGGCGACACGAGAAAGAGAGACAGCGATTCGAGATTTACGAAACGTTAAACCGCGTGAGTTCGCAACGGAAGGTAAAGGGCGCCCGAAGTTGACTACTTCTCGAAGACTCGCAAAAGGTCGTTAATTTCGCGCCTATGACAAAAAACAAAATTCCGCCACGCAGGAGTTGTGCGCGTTTACATCTTTCCGATGACACCAATTTGAAAAGAATCGGACAAAAACTGTAGTAGAAGATAGGAAAAAACTGAAAAACCTTCACGTTAGTATACTACGCTCGAGGATGACGCCCAGATGTCGCCAACCCCATCATGTAGCCATGTCCCTAAGGTTGACAAATTTCACGGCCTTGTAGATACACGTACACCCGTTGCCTTTCTATATACAAGAGTTCTTCTACGCGCCCACATTTGCAGCCAGCCGGCCAGCTAGCCAGCCAAAGTGAGATTAAACGCTACTTTTTACAAATAAATTTGCAAAAATGCGCTAAAAACAAAGCAATGTAAAAAACCCGTTAGCGATGTTGATGGTTTCAATCAAGCAGCAATTCGGCAATCCATCTACGACATGATCTAACACAAATAAATTAAAACACACGTTGAATGGTTTATTTATTTTTTATTTATTTTTTAATTTATTATCCCTCCCTTGTTCTGGGCCCTCAACAGGCTTTCGCCCATTTACAGTGACTCGCATAATTCTTTTTAGAGGTGCCCCTGCAGAAGGTCTTAATTGTTCTATACTACTCCGGTATTTACCCTACGAATTAGGAAAACTTACTCCGCCACAGATGAAAAATTCACCTCAACCCAGGTTCGAACACTCGATCTCCCGGCTATGTAGCCCAACTTTCTACCACTGAGCCACACAGACGTTTGAATGTAGATAGGCGTTTATATCAACTGTGCAAATATAATATTAAATAAGCAGTTTACGTTTGTATTTTGGAACATCTTCCGCTTCAATCCCTTTTGGAAGAGAAAGACGTATTTATTGGGTCGACAAGTTCCTTAAGAAAAGTTGTCGCGAATATTGGTTTCCATTATCAAAAAGATCATTCAAGAAAAGGTTTAATGAAGTCCATTATTTAGATGCGTAAATACAAATTATGCAGTCTGAGACTGGACGAAACGTGAGCATTTGCGAATGGAATGTAAATCATCGCAAGTGCAAAAAGCGTAACAAGAATTAAACCCGAGGGGCGCAGGTAACATACTGGTAGTAATGAGAACAATATCATTATATAAGTATTTCATTACTTACGTCGTTTATTTATTAATAATAAATGCCCTCCGAAGTATGGTAGTCAGGAGATGTTCTGTACCACTAAAAACTGACAAGTTGTGGGATTCGAACTCCCAACCTGTGACGTTAGAGTCAAAGTCTTAAACCGCTACGCCAAACTGACTACTATATAAACTAATAGAATAAATTAATGACCTAGCTTTTAAAAATCTGTACAAGCGCATTAAACGCAAAACTATCATCACGAGTGTATTTTGTCAGATACTTGCCACTAAGCACAGCCAAGTACAAAAATAAAGTCAAGTGCTTATATCCATTAGTACTATGGTACCTCAAGTTCAAATAAACTGTATTTTCGCAACTCGAATATTAGCGTTTTTTTGTGAACTGCCATTAGAAAATTCCATCCAAATCACTTGCAAGACGACCGTAAATAGATACAATCTATACGTTTTCCCTCTTAGTATGACCCACGGGAATGGCAAAAGTGAAGGGCGGAACCAAAGTTACTCACATATGCATGAAGGATTATATTATTATTGGTTAATACAGTTTTAAGAAATTAAGTGGGATTTACATCTAAATACGGGAACACGCTTTTGGTTGATTATCGAGTTACGGTCCGTTTATAGAAGCCTTTTGGCAGTGTCGAATGCCGTTCTTTAGAAAAAAAATAGAAGTTCCATTTTTGCCCAGTAATTTTTTGTATTTGTAAAATAAAATTTGTTTGTGTAATATCACAATAAGTTATGTGATCATTCGGACCCATTTCACGACGAACAGAGAAGTTTTAAGCTCAATTACGATTAATTTTACTGATTCCCATCCAAAGTTCATTGCAAGTGTTAGTCAGAATTTTGTAACAGCCCGTTTGGAATTTAAGGATTTTGATTTTGCCCACTGTTTGCCGTGAACCAGAAATCTAATATCAAAATTAAATCTTTTTGAATCTGAGTGTGGATCTGCACCGAGAAAGGTTATCATGAAACAGCTAGCTAGGTTTGAAGTGTTTTTTTGTATGACCTTTTTTGGCCCGGGATTAATGCACACAGCAATTTTCTGATTAAATTCAATAATTACCTGGATTTAAGATACAATGTGCAAAATTTTGGAATGGTCAAGGATAGGATGCCCTAAGGAAGAGTAGGAGCAGTACTTCAGAGCAGCCTTTCAAAAATTATAAAAAACAATATGCGATAGATATCCAAGAAGAGATTGAAAAAGAAGGCATTATCTACTCTGTCATGTAACGGAATCATTTTATGGTTAAGATTTAAATTAATGGATGTCAATACATGAATTTAGTTGAAAGACACTCTTAAGAAAGGTCATAGATATACTTACAGATTGCTCTGGTCAGACATAGATATATAATAAATTTAAGATAAAATTAATATAGGAAAAAAATAGAAAAAAATGTGACGTAATTTTTCTTAAATACAGGTGAGCATCACAGTTCAACACTGATGCCACGTAACACAAAAACCAAACAACCATAAAAAGACTTTTTAAATCGAACGCGTTTCGACAGCACAGCTGTCATCTTTAGAAAGTCCCTGCAAGATGACCGTAAATGAAACAATCTATACGTTTCCCCTTAGTATGACCCGCGGGAATCGCAAAAGTGAAGGGCGGAATTTTAGTTACTCGAAGATGCATGAAGGATTCTAAAACAAGGTTTCTATATTCATTACTCGTTAATTATTCCAGAAATTATTTCATAGATACAAAGTAAAAATATGGTTTTTCAAATGAAAAGGCGGAAATTGTGAAGAAAACGGAATTAGTAAGCCCAATTAACGTTTTTATTATCACTTTAAAAATAAAAAGTTACAGTATAATGAGTACGTGAATCATCTAATGAATTTCCCGCTTTGTCTCATTAAATAAATTGGCATTCCAATTAGAAGACTCGCGAAGAGATCATGTTGGTCGTATATTAATTCGCCATCGCGAACTAATTTACGTGGTGACCGCCGAGTGAAAATTGTCCACTTTAATTAAACAAGCTTTATGCCAGGATTTTATAGTATTAAGAAAATCTTACGCATAAATGATATTAAAATATTTTCTTTGAAAATTCTAAAGCTTAATAATGTTTATTAAGAAAAAGGTTGTAAGAGAAAACACTTAGGGGTATCAACGATCTTAATGAATTCTTCATAAACATAATGAATGTTTTCCATTTTAACTCGCAACATTTTCTTGAAATTTTCTTTACATTAAGTTTTAATCGGCAATTATTTTGCATATGCTCGCCCATTTAATAATCGTCGGCCAATTTATATTTTTAAAGTGTACCGCATTAGAGAACAAGCAAAATGAGATTCCATTCTAGCACATCAAGTTTGCAAAAAAAAATTGTTTAATGTACCAAGGCAATATTAATTAGTATCCCTATGGAGTATATATAAAACGCGTAATTAATTGTCTCTTAAACGTCCCCTAAGCGCACGAAAAGGTGTTATAATTTAAATTGTGTCTTAGACGTTTAATATTTGTTCAAATGCGTAGCATAATCGAAAATATTTAGATAAAAATCGCCAAAAAAAAAAACGTTGGCTTAATGAGTTTGATTTTTAATTAAATATTCAGCAGAACCATTAATCTACCTATTGAGTTCACTTCCAATAATGAATTCAATAGATCTTTTAGACGCGATAACTTTGTATAAAAACTTCTGTCAACAAGGACACAAAAGCGCATTGAAAATTAATTAAAACTTTCTTAAACTGTGTATTAAGAATGAGATAAAATTTGTACCAGAGTCGTCTTCAGATTTGACGTGAAAACTTTGAAACCAAATTGCTCCAACCATCAGAAGTAGAAAGTGGGCCACACTGTTTATAAGATCTTTGCGAGTACTTCTGAAAGTTTTCAGGGACACCAACATCATTTTGTTAACGCGCGGCGAGCGCACTTACACAAACTCTACGGAAAAACTTAAAATAGACTACGTGTTTCCCGCTCTGAGCGTGATAGAACCGCGAAAAATGTTTCATACTGCTCCGACATCACGGCGTAAGTTCATAAGTTTTTCCGACTTCGAAAAAGCTCGCGCTTTCGTGTAAGATTTACGTAAACATCACGAACGCGAATGAAACTGGCGCTGTTGCCTGGGATTGCGACACCAGCAGGGCGCTTGGCCAAAAGCTCTTAACGACGCCGTCCGGATGCCCCCGAATGTCGAATGCCTTTATGGAATGAATTTTACACACCCCTTTAACGCTAGTGCTTGGTAATAGGAAATATTTCATGCCTAAACCGAAATCTAGTTCACCTGTCATCTCAATATGAATATTCAAACCTTGTCAAATTCATTTTCCGGTTGTTATATGCAGGTGAGGTGAAGACGATAAACCCCGTTTTCCCACTGACGCCTCCTTTCCAATGTTATATTTTCCATCGCTCATTAGTACGAAATGCCTTCAGTATATAACGCATCAAACAATATTTATATTTTAAAGATGAAAAGTAAGGTTATAAAAAAGTTATGACTCGAAAGCTTTAAGTGTGGACAAAATTTTTTATTACAGTGACTTTATTGCCACTAACTATATTTGTATCGATCCCAATAATATTCTGTACCGTTTTTCTATACTTTTACACTCTTTTCTGGGCCGACTTTCGTAGACAATTTCATCCAATACTTAGTGATTGATCCATGCTCTCTATTCTTACGTCCTAACACCACATATCATCAGAATGTATCCGATGCTTTCGCATATTTTGTCATTCCCACCAATAAATTTGTACGATGACACGCGTTTATCCGCCCTACCGCTCAAAGCAAAAATATGTAGGTATTAAATGCGTACACTTGTCCTTTCCATCGTGCAGTGGCGGTACGAATAATTAATTAGATAAAGTTCAATTCAAGTGCCAGGGTATAATTTCTGAATGGTTTCTACATTTCCCCTACTCGTTAAATCAACAATGCCGGTTATACTGCGAAATACAAAGTTTAGTTTAAGGCATTTTCAACAGAAGAAGAACAAAGCGATATCCATGTTACTTATGAACTCATTGACCTTCCAACCTTTTTACCTTATACGATGATTGAGAGGCGTTATATTAAATTGGGGAATGGTTCTTAATTTAGAGTGGCATTGTGAAGGCACCAAAAACCCTATTCTTGGTAATCATAAGGGCACAGATTTTAAAACAGACACGTAGTTTCAATTGACTGCCTCTACATTAATTTAACAATAAAAGGCTGTAAGTAAAGGGTAATGTGAGTAAGTGTGATGTATGAGGGCAGTTTGATAAGTTGGTGACTTTATGAATGAAAGATATTTTTTCGGCACATAAGCGTTTTATTTCGCCACATAGTCTCCTTTTAGCTCGTACATTTAGTCCACTCTTTTTATTCCTTCCAAATGATAGGTTTCTCAAGTCCCTCAAAATAGGTGTTATTTTTTAAGTGATGACCTCTTCATTCGTCCCAAATCACTCGAAAATAGGCCATTTTTTCTACTATTTTTCGGTTTTTGTTACGTTTTAGTCCTGTAGGAGAGATTTTAGACCAATAATTGCCGCAGGTATACTTTTTTAAGCTAGACAAAATTTGTGACAATTCAAGCCCTTAACGGACACTGTAAGTAAAATAGTTTTTGAGATACAGTGTTTCAAAGATTCATAAATTCTACAGTTTTGCAAATTTGATCAAATTTATGTTTTTTTTTTCACTTATAATTGCACAAGAGGTTTGTATTTTACCGAGTAAATTTGGGTTGTTAAGGTAATGAAAATCTGTTGCCAAGCAATTAGACGAGAAAAACTGTCAACTAATAAAAATGCGACACCGAAGATGGAGCATTTTTAGGTTGACAGTTTTTCGAGTTCAATTGCTAAAAGGAAACAGATAAGTGAAAAAACCACTAGTGCATTTGTCGCTGGAAAAGTTGCAGGTAACTTTTGCCGCTGTCAAAGTGACAATTACACTGCGGCTTATGCGATTTTTTATACATGAGTTGAATTGTCGCATAAAAACCTCATAAAAATTTTTTCGTTTGGAGGAACTTGGTGTTGAGAAATCTCCATAAATCCGCACAGGAGGTACAATGTCCTCCGGTTCCTCAGTTTCTGGCATGATAAGGTTGTCATCTTCTTCTTCGTCATTAAGATCCATCACCTATTCGAATAATATGGGATTATTGAAAAACTTAAGGATACAAGAAAGGTCGCTATTGTTTGTCAGCTACGTAGACTATCAGCAAAGGTTACAGCCTAAACACAATCTCGAAGATTGTTCGGTATTCAGTTATATCGGATTTTTATGACCTAAATTTGAATAAAATAATTTGGTGAACCTTAAATTTACTTCCGGGAAATTTGAAGATGGTTGGCCATTGCAGGACTTGCATATTACAGAGCGCTTAATTCCTGGATTGCTCCAGCTACAATTTCCGTTGCACCTTTTCTTACAGTTGCATGAAATCAATTTCAGCAGCGATTGGGGGCTGGGTCGTTTGTGATCTTTAATGGAATGAGACCTTTACTATGTATCCACCCCCAATCTTCAGGATTCTTCATACTCCAATCTACGTTTGGGTAGGATCTAGTGCCTGGCAGAATCGGAGGTTGGTGGTAAACGCTCTAAGCTGAATGCATTTCTCGCTACTGGCTTGACGAAGTTTTCGTACCACAAACTATTAAGCTTTTGAATACTCATATAACCACCATACAAAGTTACAAAAAAACTTTGGCTAGCGTCATCTATTTTTATCTAATTTCAGAAAGTTCTTGTTCAAATATAGAGGCTTTGGTTATAACTGTAGACTCATTAAATATTATGTCTGCACAACTCAAGAGTTCTTGATCGACGTTCTCTTTCTGCACTCTTCTGTACTTTTGTTTTTTGGATCGGGGGGATACCCGTCAAACATAACCGTAGGGTCACACAAAGGTGCGATGCGCTTTAGGGGTTTATTTGATTTCAGACTACTTACCTACATAACTCCAAAATGTTTTAGGGCCGGTATTATAAAGCCCGCTTGAACGGAGATTGGCGTTCAATCGTAGTTTGAGTGCGATTGCGCGTATTATAAACGCCGTTTGAGTCTTAATCAGAGCTCAATCTCCGATTGTAGTCAACCCGCCAATTTTCTCGAGTTTTGCTGCCCAAACGGAGATTAAGCGCGCGAACGTGTAGAGAATTAAGATTATCGTAACCAGTTTATTTTGTTTTGTGTCATTGTTTCTATTTATAACGAAATGGAAATAATTGGTAATGGACGTGCAAGAGGTCAGTTACTGTCGGCAGTAAGCGACGATGACTCTTCATTAGTGGATGAGTTCATTAGAAGAAGAGCACAAATTTTAGAGAACGTGTTGATCATTTCGGCAAGTGGGATGAAGATGAATTTCGGCAGAGATTTCGGTTGTTCAAGAATAGGTACCTACTCCCTATAAAACAGGATTGGAGCACTAATTACCCCCCAAACAAACAGATAGGTTTGTGCTTTTCTTTGGAAATTCTATTATTTTTGCGAATGTGTTAATTAATTAATAATTGCCCATCAATGGTGAGGCTGTCGTCATCAGCTCCAGCTTCATTACCAGTGAGGTACTTCAGTGTGCTAGATCATATTTTGTCTTCAGTTGCTCAAGTGTGCGTGGCTCAGTCGATGCAGCGTTATACTTCTCTGCAATTTTCTTCCATGCGATGGTGTATAAACACAGAATGATTTGGGATATAGATAGATGCAAACAAAAAACTTGCAACTGATGATATCCTGATGCTTTACCTTGTTCTTGGTAGTAGAGGCGTCCGTCCGTTTATTTTCAATTAAGTAATGAAAATATGACTGAACGCAGTCCGTTTGCTGATGGGCGTCCGCGTCCGTAAAAGAGGCTCACTTTTTTCCCTTGTCTATCATTGGCAAAGCGGCAGGCAAAACAGCGCTATGTAAAACGATTTAGCAAGGGGATGAACAGATCAGCACAGTTACAGTGGCAGGGGAAAATGGCACAAAAGCGAAAAGAACGAGCGGCGCGGGCGCGATGAACGTAAACGTCATCAGCTGTCAGCCGACTCATCACCCACTGAAAATTCTGCGCTCTGATTGGTCCTCGGTTCGCCCGCAGTGTTACCATACTAGGGATCGTAAACTCCAACGGAGATTAACCAAACGCTCTTCCCAGGGTGTTTATAATACGTAACCGCTCTCAATCTTGGTTTGCCATAACTCAAGAGTGCTGGGGGATACGAAAATTTCGCCCTCTACGCCAAGCTAATATGGTACGCCCATTTACAGGAAGTGAATGAGGCACTAGGGGCTGTCACAGTTCAAGTCCCCTTCCCAGTTGGTGATGATCCAACTTTCCTGAACCTCGATGATCCAAATTTGGATTATATGAACCTGATCACCCCGATCAGTCAGGGCCACATAGTCTTACTCCACCGTGACGACTATGATGATCAAGATATACAAGTCATCATGTGCCGTTTGCATTGAGATCTTAGCATCGAAAATTCTATATAACATTGGTTCTTAACATTATTATGAGCAATTCTTTTTTTCTCTATACAGTCTTCCAGTTCAAATGAATACCAAAGTAGGACATTTTTATTGTAACTGATTTTAATGGTACATAGCGATCACGCACTTGAAGCAGGATGCCATAAAATGAGTGAACAGCGCGATCAATGCTAGTGAGATAAAGCAATAAGTCGCAATTAAGCAATAAGAGGTAGAGATTAAGATTATTATCATCTTTGCGAAAGGCATAACTATACCCGTTCATATTAAGATTAGGGAATAGAAATGGTATTTTTAACGACTTTGTTAGTGATGGATGGTAATTATCTACTGGCACATTGCATCGTTCAACTGACAGTTCCGTATTCGAGAAAAACAAATCAAGAAATCTGTTCATAGTGTTTAGTTGGCGCCAATTGAGGGTATCTTCACTGGTTAAGTTTCAAGTTACAAAAGGAAGGTTCCAATCACCTGCGAAAATAAATTCGGCATGTGGGAAATGCATTTCAATAGTTTCAATCGTTTCGGAGTGTTTACAATAGTCCGGTGGAGTATAGAGATAACTCAAGATAATATGACTAAATTTCCACGATACAAATAGTTCTTCA